AGCTTCATAGTGTGCTGAACAACTTCAGAAATCCAGCGCTCATGTCTTGCTCGAGGTCATGCAGGAAATGCATGGCAGATCTCAAGTCTCAGTTGAGGGTTTCAGCCTTAAGATTCCTGTGTGTCCATGGTGACTGTTAGTTGAAAGATGGTGGGTCAGGAACTCTGCAGGGATCTGCATTTTCTTAGGTCTCATCCAGCACAGAGGCAACCAACTGATTTTAACTAGCCCTGGATAATTTTGGTGTGGCTGTTCTGGGTTGTCCCCTCTGTGTGGACGTGCTATTCCAGGGGAAAAGTGGAAAAACATCTCTGCTTTGTGAGCAGAATAAGTGATAAAAAAATTGTTTGTGGTGTACATTTTTTATTCTGTTGCAGCTTTGCAGGTGAAGCTCCCTATCTGTTCCCAGGTTAGGCCCTTAATGGCAGGCAGGAATGTTTGCCCAACGCAAGGAAACGTGTGTATGAAGCTACTTCTGGGAGATTGTCTAATGCCTTCAGGTTTCTCCTTGTGTGCTGTGCTGATGGGCTAAAACTGACCTGCTGGTGTGTCCCCATCACCTACGACTGGACTGCGTGGCCCTGGGGGAACGACCTGCTGCGAGGACAAGGGACTCTGCTCTTATCTTTGTTTCACTGAAAACGCTTTCATGTAAGTCTAGGCCGGGAAGGAACTGGACTCAGCAAATTTTTTTTTTTTCCAATACAACCTGTATCCAGCTGGAGCCTAATTCTTCCCCGTCCTTCTCCTCAGTTCCTTTTAGGCCTTCCTTAACTGTTGCCAACACAACATGAAAGCTTCAGGGTTTTGCCTTCTCTAGGATTCCACTCCGTGGAAGATAACCTCCAGTGTAATGCTGTGCTAGCTGGGAACACACCTCGCTTCCCGCAGGTGTCCCGTGGCCCTGTTCTCATTAGGAAGAGGAAGATGCATCCTGTGTCCAAACTTAAATCCACCCTTGATCATAGTATTTCTGGGCTGCTGCTCTCAGTGCCTGAAGGCTGTCTGGAAGACACAGAGGCACCTTTCTCCTTCCGACATATGCCTGGGGTTATTGCTTTGCATGTCCCTCATTTGCTAAACAAAACAGCCCAAAGACCAGGATTTTCTTTCCCTGGCAATAAAGGGAAGAAGGTGTGAAGAGGATTGGGGAAGTGCAGGATACAGGGTGAGCTCAGAGAGAGGCAAAAACAATCAGCTCTTTCTTCAGCCACAAAGATTAGTTGAGATTTTGCTTTTTGTTATCTGTTTCCTTGATTGACTGACCAGAATGTTTTTCTGATGCAAGGGGAGATGGTGGGAAAGAGCAGTTGTTTTCAGATGGTTGTTTTCAGAACAGTGAGAACTGGGGAGGATTTGCATGTTTGGAGAGCAACGCCAGGTGTGTTTGGAGTTGGTGACAGCCTGATCCTGACAGGTGCTGAGCATCCTTGGGTACCCATTGTGTGGATTCAGCAGCTCCAAGGATCAGGGAAGGCCTTTGCCCGCTCCATGCAGCAGGCCTGCCCATGGCTGGTGCCATGCTGGGAGTGGAAGGCTCTCCCCCAACCTGCTGTGGTGAGGTTCAGGTGACGCCAGATCTGCTTCCTTCCTCGCTCCTTCACCTGCACTTCCAGAGCTTCATGCAGTGCAGAGGAAAGCCCAGGGAACCATGCAGAATGCCGCTGTCACCTCCTGAGGCTCCAGTCCCTCCACCTTCCTTCTCAGGAGACAGCTCTCCCTGATCAGGGATTGCAGCAAACAAGGAGCTGTGGGGCTCTGCCTAGTTTTTCTCTGGGCTGCTGACAACCGTATACCTAAAGGGAGGATAGGGCTCAGGGAGAAAGGAGGCAGGTGGTGTTACCTGGCTGTCTGAAAGTGGCACCTTGTTACTCAAGGGGAAGAAACTGTAGTGCCTTCATAGAAAACTGCAAGTTAATTCCCTCTCCTCTGCCTCCCTTCTCAGGTCACCGTCTGACTCTGGCTGTACTGTCTCACTACCGCCCTTGCCAGCTGGCCTCCCTCCACAGCCTGTGTTTCTGGAGATATGCTCCCAGTGCCTGTGGGAGTGGGTCTGCCTGGCCCCCCGGGCTGCTTTGGCCACAGCCGTGTTTTCCTGAGCGCGGCTCTGCAGCAGCACACTGCCTAAGGCCACCCCAGTGCGTTTCTCTACTCGCTGCCCATCCATCTAAAGCAGTCCTCACATCTCCTGGCGATGTGCTCACCAGGGTCCTCACAAATATAAGGGTAGGGCTGACACTGTCTCCTCCGGTGTAACTGCTCTTCAGTAGTCTCTGGGCTCAGTAACCACAATAATGGTGAAAGCAGCTGCCTGCCCTAGAGTCCTGCGGAAATAAAAGACAGGACTGGGGTGATCTGTGCTTTGTTAGGACGGAGAGGCAGGCTGCAGAAGCACAGCCTTAGGACAGAAGACCCCAGCCACCCGCTGAAGGTCATACCTCCTCTGTACCATGGAAATCTAAGATAGGAATGGAAATCTAATGGATACAGTAGCCCTTGTTCAGCAGG